CCCCAAAACCCCAAAACCCCAAAACCCCAAAACCCCAAAACCCCTGCTTCTTGGAATTAAGTTGAAAATACAGAGGTTGTTTCGCTCTTCAAAATCGTCCACACTTTGTCTGTGTGGCGAGAGGCAACCGAACTCACAAAGTTATCTCCTGCAAGTTCGTGCAGCTTGATGATTAGATGGTAGAGAGACCTCTTCATGTCTCCTTTTACACTCGTGTCGTCGAGCAGTTTCGAACACAGGTTGTAAATGTGCTTGGTCACTGAGGCCGCCTTGACTTCATACACAATTTCGACGACTTCACAGATCACTCCGAGAATGATGGCTCTGGCCTTGGCTTTACCCTGAAGGATCTGGTGGCACATTGGCTGGATGAACACCGAACATTCGAGTTCTTCGTTCAGAACAAGTTTATTTCATTAGGGCGACGCCTCAGTTCTTGACCATAGCATTTGACGACACAATGTTGGCTGCAAGTCCTTCGATGACCAAGCTGGCGCCCTTCTCGATGAGCATTTTGATCTGAGACATCACGTTCGTGAAGATGTCTTGGGCAGCTGTCACGACTTTGGTGTTGTTGTCTTTCAAGCACTGGACCATCACATCGATGATCTGAAAGAACTTTTTGCTTTTGTTGATCAGCTTCTCTTCTTCCTGGATGAAGTTAGAAAGGGATTTCAGCGCAGACACTCGTTTCTTCCAGTCGGTTTCCTGGAACATGCCGATGATTTCCTGGAACTTCTCTTGCACGTCGGTGCTGATGAGCTCAAAGTTAGTTTTACCATAGCCTGTGGCCGAACTCTTCTTGTAGATTGAAGACTTGGTCTTTGAGAACCTTGAGCCAGTGGATTCCATGTCTCCATAGTCTCCAGTTGCAGATGCCTTTGGCTTGCTGGCTCTCGTTTTGTTGTAGTAGAAAGTGCCTTTAGTCGAAATTCCATTTGTAATCATGAATTTGTCGCTGCTGGTCGACTCTTTTTCTAAGAAGTCAATCACTTTGGTGTAGTTACGCTCAGTGGTAGACCTCATGACGAGTTTCTCGAACTCAGCATTTTTCATTCAGGACTTCAGGATCAAGAACCCTGACTTGGCAGCATTTCTGACTTCGAGAGCTGCCTCATTCATGCCTGAAGCAAGGAAAGCCACAATCCGCTCTCTGTCTTTGAAAGTCTTGATCTTGCCTTGCAGCTTTTCGATAATGGTGTTGACTGCAACAAGGATTTTCTCTTTGACTCCGTTGGTTCTGACTTTAGACAGAGACAGCGCTGCAGATGCAAGCTTCGCCTCCGATCAGTTCTCGCAAGCCTTGACCAGAGCTTTCTCGGCCTCTTCAGCGATGAAGGCGTTGGTGTCAGCAGCCTTATTTTAGAAGCATGGGGATGACGTTCTCGAGAATTCAGTCAACGTTCTTGCCACAATTCTCAAATATGATAGCGAAGGTTCCGAGAGCGTTTCTTGAAAGCTGGGTTCTCAGTGAATTTCACAAGTTTGAAAGCTCAGCCATGATGTCACTAAAGTCGGGATCAGAACTCTGGAACAGACCCGAGTGCTCAGAAGAAAAGTCTTTGATTATGTTGCAAGCTTTGAACTGCTTCTCCCAATCGTCTTTGCCTCTGAGATCAGAGGCAATCTGCTTCCATTGGGCCTCAGGAGACAGCAACTTGTCTTTCTTGGATTCTCTGTCATCGATGGAGTGAGCCCGTTCGCTTCCGCTGCCTCTGGTCTTTTTGCCTTTGAGTGGAGGCTTCTTCTGTGAAAGAGAGTTCTTGGCTCTGTTGCGTGACTCCACACTTTTATTAGACATCTGGGAGTACCTGTGATGCCTACCTTCAGTCTGCGAGTCGTCATCTACGCTGCTTGGGAGGCCACTATACATGGACTCTGACTGGTTTGACGTCGGCTTGGTCAGGGCCACAGGTTTGATGGGGCCTTTGCCAGGAATTTGGTTTGCAGCAGAGTTATCTGCTTTGTCAGACACGTAGTCTGTGGGTCTGTTCTTGTGCAGGTTGCTTTGGTTGTACTCGGTCCTGTGATGAGCATCCATCGCTGATTTAGCTTCTTCGTAATACTCGTTCTGAGCTGCATGACTTTTGGACTGAGGCTGGGCGAATGAGTTTGTATTGGAGGCACCCACATTCATGCTGTGAGCAGTCATCGAGGGGTTGTTGACGCTTCCAAACCTTCTCTGGCTTCCCTTATGTGTCTCTGGAGTGTAGTCCAAGTTCTTGTTCACGGTGTTGCTGATGTTGCGATCAAGTTTGCGTTCGTTGCTGATTTTGTTGGAATACTGGATCGGAGTTTGCATAATTGGTTCCTTGGAGACCCTGACTGGTTGCTCACTTTTGATGCTGCTCGCTGTCATGTTGAAACCAGGCAACCAGTTTTTGTTTCCGATGCTGCTCGTGGTGCTCCCTCCTTTGTCAAAAGTGTGTTGACTATAGTTGGTGACTCTTGGCCTGTCATCAAGAGCTGTACTTTGGTGGTAGAAATTTTGAGAGTACACTGTCTGATCTGTGCTTTTCATCTGCCTATTATGATCGTTTGCAGCAACACTCTGTGATTCTTGACTCGCTGAGTAGCTTGAAGAATAGAGCAAGTTATTTGAGTTCTGGGTTTGCGGAGTTGGAAACTCCACAATTCCATCGTAGTTCACTGAAGCCAGTTTGCCAGCAAAGCATCTCTCGCTGATTGAATTATAAATCTGAGCGTCTAGGTAGTTGTTGAGGATGATGGCAGTGCTGGAGTCTTTGGACAGAACAATGCACAGCGTCTCAAAGGCAGTCTGACTTACTTTATCTTTGGGGTCGTTGGTCATGCTTCAAATCTGACTGATCATCTCGGGCTCAGACAAACCTCACGTTGAGTTTGAAGTGATGCAAGCCATGATTAAGATGATGAGAATTTCTTCACGGATGTGCCAGTTATCGCTCTTAAGGAACGGATGAACTAGCTTCACAATTTCTTCAGCTCCAAGAGAAACTGCAAGCACATGGAACACTTTGAGCACTGCATGCCTGATCACAATTTTGTTATCGGAGAGTTTATTGGACAAATTATTTACAAGCTCAGGCAACACATTGGCAATCTCTTTGGGATACTTCATGCAGAGATTGTGGATGATCCTCAGGGAAGTCAACGATATTTTGAAGTTGCTATCATCAATCATCTTGCTCATTTTCTTTCAAATATCGGTGATGTAGATTTGGAAGTCTTCGTTCGGCCTTGAAAACTGCTTATTTTATTAAAGTTTCAGTTTCTTGTAGTGCGGAAACTCTGTTTTTCCACTCTTTCTGGTCGTTGAGCTTTTCTGCTACATCAGGAGGCAAGAATGAAAATACCAGTCCGTTCAAAGCAACAGGGAACTCTTCTTCGTCGCTTTCGTCATCAGCCTCGCTGGGTTCGCTAGAGTCTTGCTTCTCAACACGGATGTTGCCTAGGCTGCTGAGAGACTTCTTGGAGGCCTCCTCTGGTTCTGTCTGCAACTTTTGGGGAACCAAAGTGTTGGCTGTCAGAGTGGGGTCTTGACTGCTTTCCTCACCAAAGCTGTTCATGGTCTCGTGCCTTCGGATTGCGTTGGGAGCTTGCTTTCCAATCAAGGGCTTTGTCTTCTGCTGTTTCTGTACAACAATGGTTTCATGTCTCTTTTCTTCACGAGGCTTCATGATGCTCGGAGACTGCTTCTGAGAACCCAGGTCCATGACCCCAGGCATGCTGCTTAGTGAAGACTGAGAAGCAGAAGTGTTTATTGGAGGCCTCACTGCTTGCATCGCATCCTGCTTTGCCTGATGATTCGAAGGCTGTTTAGGAACACTCTTCTGGCTTCTTTCCTGAGTGAGCTTCTTCTGGCCTTTGAGCAAGTGAAGGTTGTTCATCGACTTTCTTGACTGCTCGTTTGAAACAGCAGCGATGCTTCCGTTATTTGCATCAAAGACGTGGGTGTTCGAAAGTGACTTGGGTTCTTGCTCTTCGAACTTAGAAGGTCTTTGCTTGTTGCCATTGCTGTTCTTATTACTTCTATTATCATTGATATCATTCCTGACATCTCTTGTGCTATCTGAAATGAACTTGCTTCTGGTCCTATCCTCAGATGGGACTGCCTCGTGCCCATAACTTCGCTCCGGAGGATTCAAAGGGCTTGGAGCACAAGCACTAGATTTCTTCGGAGTATCTCTGACATTGAAAGGCTTTGATTTGGCAGATGCAATTTTAGGTTTTGACTTTGAAATATGCTGAGAACCGCCTTGCTTGTCTTGGTGGACTAGCATCTCAGAGTTAGACCTGACAGAAGGTCTTTCCTCATGATCTCGATAATCTGGAAGAGTGGCTTTCTCAGGAGTGATCTGTCTGGCAGCTCTTCTGTTAGGATTCTGAGGCTGGTTAGGCTGGTATGTACTTGAAGGCTGTATTTTTTTTGGAGGATCAATTTCATCTTCTTGATCTTCTTCCTCTTCCTCTGATTCGCTTTCAAGGACATAATCGAGTACTTTTCTGCATCAATTTCGATGCTTTTTCTCTGGTAGTTTATCAATTATCTTAGGTGTATCTGTAGGATAGACTCTTTTTAGTTCAACGAGGAGTTTATTTAGCTGTTTTCTGGACTACTTCGGATTGGTCGAATAACTTTCCAGCCACAGAATCTACGAGCTCGACAATTTCGGGGTCTTTCTTTTTGACTCAGGTCTTCTTGAGGGAGAGGAGAGCTGGAATCACAAGCATTGAATGTTGCCTCGTCCTATGCATTGTGTGAATCAGACCTACGTTGATAATATAGTTAAGAACTAATTCAAGTTTTAGGGATAATTTTACATATGAGGCAATTCATCTGTGAGTATGCTTTCTGACAACAGTCTTCTGACTTCCAAGGTTTTCAATAAACGTTGGAATTAACTTAACGAACTCTGCTTCCGTTTCACTATGCTCTAAAATTTTGGGAAGGCTTCCAATGATTGTTTGGTAGCACAGCAAAAGTAAGTCGACTTCGGAAGATTGGAGTCATTTCTTGAACCCTTTGAAGAGAGGGCGAAGGCTGTCTGCAAAGGGAGCAAATCCATCCGTTTCGAGTGTATATTTCACATCAGAGAGCCACTGCTCCTTGTCTGATGATGGCGTTATTTCCATTTCTTATCAAAAATATTATATTTTGAAATTGCCTATAAGCTATTAGTTAAGGGGTTTTGGGGTTTTGGGGTTTTGGGGTTTTGGGG